GACAAAAAATCATTATTTTTTTTTTTTTTTACTTATATTCACATACAAAAATATCCCAATCATAAATTCCATACTTCTAGGCTTCGCAGTGTCTTCGTAGGAATACCATATTCACCAATCGGACTCTCAGGTAGCATATTAATAAGCCGAGGTACATATTCCGTATGCTTTTCTGTATTAAATTCGAATATGTCTATTTTAATATTATAATTAAATCTTACTTTAAGAAGACCTGTTGCCACAACCTAAACAAAATAATAGTATCGACTAATAAGAAAATATAGAACAAATATAAGATAAATGACACATTTAAACTCATAAATCTACCCTTGATCCATCTTCATAATTATATATCATTGAAGCTTTTGCTTCAACGGTGCTAACCGGCACTGCAAAGCCATTGTTTCCGAAAATAATCGGAGGACCTAAATTTTCTTTGATACCACTCATTGTGAGCTGTATTGATGAGACTCCAGATTCAAAATTTACTTGAAAAAATCTCGAAATGACTGGATTTGGTATATCTATTTACATCAACGTTATTAAAATTATTTTGATCTTCATCAAACATAGTGAATAAGTCAACAATGACAAAAAATATAGTGATAGATTCTAACCAAACATCCTGTTTTCTCTTGTATGACAGTTCCATAAACCATATCTAAATTTTCCTTCCTCTGAAAAGAATTCATTTACAACTTTTTTCCAATGATCTATATTCTTTTTATTAGGATTCTAAAAAGAAATAAAATTCAGGTGAACATTTAAATTGACAATGTATAAGTAAGCAGAATAAATCTTTACCTCGCTCGTTAGATATTCACTGAATAAAAATAATCGTAGTATGCATGTTCCTTGAGAATGTTGAGGTCCTCTATTGTGAAAATGAAAAATAATGTTTCTTTGATTAACTTCCAAAATCTGATAACATTAATAAATATGTTCTACTATATTAAACCGGATAACTCCATATGACTCACCTCGGAAAGTAAGGCATTGGATTCCGACTTGCGTTTGAATGAAGATTTGTGTGAATTAAATTTGAAACGTTGCTTGAAACGATGCTGATTCAAATAAGCATCATAAAAATGATACTCACGAGATAGGTGGTGACGGATTTTGTGTTAATGCCATTTGTCTTTGTCCTTGTAATCTGGGGTTATTTATAGCTGGCACGTTAGTTAGCATTGGATTCCCAAGAATATATTGTTGCATTGCTGGGTTGAGAGAATGAGGTGCTTGTCCCATGGCTAAGTGCAAACCTCTGGGAGTATTTGGCACGCTAACTATTCCATTTGTTATGTTAATACCATTAGTATAAGCCGCAGGGTTTAGATTAGCCATATTAGACATCGCTCCGTTTAAAAACGCCTTTGGGAATGGAACAAGGTATAAAATTTTGCTTTATATAATACCCATATTTCACCGGAAAATATTCATGCATAACATTGTCACATTACTACTTTATACAATATAAAAAGTATATATGTAGCTAGTGGTAGTTATCATGTGATTTTCAAATTGGCAATTTATAAGTATAAATCGTAACATCCAATTATATAGCAGTTTGCTTTCGATTTTAACATTTTTTAGCAATTCTATTTACATATATATACATATATATATATTGTATATATATACTGTATATACTGTATTTTATTAATTAACAAATAAAGCTAACTTAATAAGCACTTATAACTTTGTCAAATTTAAATAATTACTGAATATATTATTATTATCGTTCTATAGAGAAGTTTTTTTTTTAAAACAAATTTAAAATTTTGTTATAAAATTTTTTTAATAATATATACTATACTGTATAGTAAATCTTTCTAAATACAATTTTTATTTTAAATAACAAGCTTTAACTTTTATAAATACAAATTTTATTATTTTTTAAATATAATACAGTATAATGTTTTTTTTTAAACTAATTGTAACTTGTTATACTGTAGCCTGTATATTAGTATTAAAATAAACAAAAATAAAACTTAATTTAGTTATAAATAAAGAATTAAAAATATAATATTAACAGTTAAACCTCTATAATCACATACTTTGGATACAAAAATATGTGATTGTAAAGAAGTTTGACAATTATAGATCAGATTTATTATATTTAATAATAGTTTGTTTTTTAAAAAATATGCATATATAGGAGATGATTATAAAGAGATCTGACTATAATTATAAAAAATTTATTTATTTATTTTATATTTATATTATTGGATATTATTTTTTAGTACACTCTGTACTATGTATTCTCTTTGCTATAATTTTGCTATAACTCAAAATTTTACTAGAGTAATCATATTATAAAACTAATAAAAAATGATCTTCTTGTAATTTTACACTAAGTCTAACCCTAACTCTAACACTAACTCTAATCTAATCTTAACTATTCTTAAATTCAAATTTTTCATAGAAGAGCACATGGTGTACCCTGCACCAAATAAATATTTTCTATATTATTATAATACAGTATATATAATATTTTATAAAACTTAATTAGATATTATTACTTTGCAATATGCTTATATATTACATTTTAATAATCAACTAATTAAATTTTAAGATTAGATATAATGTAATATGATCAAAATAAATTCAAAACAATATTTATTTTGATAAAATTACTTATTTCTTAAACTGTATTCTAGGCAAATTTGGTTTAAATTTTGAAAAATATTTATAATTTTTAAATAAAATTAAAAATTATTATTATTATTTTTTTTTAAACGGTTTTGCTTTTATTCATATAAACTATTATAAAACATATACAAATATATTGTACTACATCTTATCTAATTTAATAAAAACTCACTAGATAAATACTCAATACAACCTGTTATAACAACTATTAGTCTACTTTGGGATTCTGAACTTGCTCAAAATTTTGTACTAGATAATAGTATACTCTCTTGATTATGAACAGGTTGTTGTATACCTTGTCAGAACTACTTTTTTCTTTTTTAATTATTTCTTTTTCTTAAGGATTACAAAACAAAGAGAAAAATTTTATAAGTTTAATGAAAACAACTAAAAAAAAAAAAAAAACAAAAGAGAAAAAAGAAGTACTAATTGCAAAAAAATATATATATATAAAAAGAAAAACAAAGTTCTAATAGCATTATAACTTATACAAGGCTGATAAAAATTATATATTAGAGACAACTTTGTATATCTTAAATATAAAACTATATCTTATTGTATAATCTTTTTCTCTGACCTAACAACTAATTTTGAAAATCTTAACCAGTGCTTTGCTAGTTCATATCTCAAGCTAGGTGCCATTGCTATCCGAAAACCCATATCTCAAGTTACCTGCTGCTACTACTAAAGGTTTTTTGACTAGGGACTAGTTCAAAAAGTAGTGCTATATTTGTTTGACCAATATTATCAAACTGTTTTTTGATTTTCTTATTTGGGAGATCTACATAGATTAACCAATCAATTTGTGAAATTTTTATGAAATAAAAAAAAGCGAACAAAGCTGAAAATAAAAGAAATAAGTATCTAAACCTGTTTTGAAGTACTAACAAAAATGTAGAGAGGGTAATTTGATCTATAAAATTTCTCTCTAACCCTAACCTAACCCGAACTCTAACTCTAATTTTAACTGCTCGCTTTAACACCTTCCAAATAAAAAAATTTAAAAAATAGTTTGGTAATATTAATCTATTTGTTTATACCAAATACATGGTTGTTATCTATTATGTTGTTCAAATTTAAAAAAAATAAATATTGCCAATCTTTTAATAAAGGTAGGCTATTTTGTCTACTTTTTTCAAAAATTTTGTTGCTAAGAGGAGTGAGTAGTAATATAGTAGAAATACTTTGTATACTTAAAATTTTTATATAAAAGAGAGATAGTTCAAAAAACAAAAAACTAGACATATATAGCCTAGAAAGCAACTCTTTTTTTTGGTAAGTGATAAACTCTAAGCCTGTTAGTAAGTAGTATATAAGAACTACTTCTAAATGACAGATACTATCTTTGTAGTAAGTGATAAACTCTAAGCCTACTAGCAGGTAGTATATGAAAACTACCTCTAAACAATAAGTACTGACTTATAGTTTTATTTTTAATCTAGAATAACTCTTGTGATATATCTAGTTTATTGTTTTTTGGTTTGGTTTTTTTCTAAAAATTTTGGTATGAGGAATAATTAGAAAGAGTTTTTTGAAATTAAAAATTATTAATAATATTAAGTATATCTTATATATATAATATTTTATTTTTATTTTTATTTTTTTTTAATATTAAAGGTGACCACTTAGGCCATTGGCATGAGCTTTATTCGGATAGTTACGATATTATATCAGA